ACGGCCATTATGAGCCCACAATGCCACGTATTACGATCAATCATCCCGGAATTTGCAAATAGACCGCAGCCCCTTTATCAGCAGTGCCTGATCGATCACGCGAATCTAACAGAGAGAGAGACCGACAAAATCACCGAAAAATAGCGAAAAAAGACCCTCGTTTCGCGCACACGTCGTGTGATTGTCAAAGAGAAAAATTGAAACCGTCAAAATTTCGAATTTTGATTGACAAGCTCTCCTCAAATACCCCATTAGCATTACCCTCCACAATCATCATCATCAAAATGTTCGAGTGGCAAATAATTAGGCAAAAACAACTTGACAACAACGTGTTTTCTAACTAAAAAAAATGGAGTCATACAGCGGAAATTTCCAAAAATTCACAATGCGCTTGAGAAATATTTTAAATGACCAAATAACAAAATGTATTCAAATGAAGACAACCCACAATTTTAATGAGAACGGAGATAATTTAGGTGAAGAAACGTTTTTTACATCTAGGTCCAAAAACAGTAAAGAAAACCCAAAACGAAATAACGCAGAATCTAAGAAATATTTAAACATTAAAAAGTTATTTCCAAAATGTCAAAAGAAAACGTTAAGTATTGACGAATCTTTACAAGAATTAAAACGTATCGAATTAGAGATTAAAATGATTGAAGAAGACATCGAAACTAATCATAAAGAATTAACCCAAAACACTAAATTTATTTACGAAATTATTACATTAGATGAAACAAAACCAACCACCTCAAAAAATAAGCTAAAATTTACGAAGTGGCGAAGTAAAATAAAAACGCCTCAAAAAAATGAATTCGATGAAACATTCAACGAAAATAAAATTATAAAAGTTGACGTTTCAAGTAAAGAAATTAATATTTCCCCAACAAATTTTGAACCCAACTCAGAAACCGATTATTTATCACCTTTTACGTCGATGGAAACAACCCCGGAAAATTCTTCGTTAGGAATCGACGATTTAACGATATCCGAGTGGATTTTTAATTTGATTTGTAAAAGTAAATCATTTTTAATCCAAAAATTTAGAAGTAGGAGTAAATTTAGTGTGGATTCATCAGATGATGATATTGAAATTGATAATTTATCATGTCATTCTCATTTAAATGTTAATACAGAAAAGGATGATTTTGATTTCAACTTTTTATTACCTACATTTTCAAATAAAACGAATGAAAAAAAGAGATGGACGAGTTTATTATATTCAAAATTATTTAAGTCGCAAAATAAGGATAACACCGAAGTTGAAATGAAAGTTTTAAATTCCCCAAAACCGATTAAATCCGAAGATGATTTTGTAAAAAAATTAGAAGAAACAACTGATAAATTAAGATCGTTATCGCTAAAGGAAGAAAATTCGATAAAAACACAAACGAATGGATTTAAAAAGTTATTTCCAGAAGAATCTTTACAAAACATTAATTTTTGGGAAGATGAATCCATTCCTGAAGAAGTAAAAATGGCTAAAAAAGATGATGGAGGTACAGAAAAACATAAAGATTTTTGCGAACTTTTTGATATAATACAAAACATAAAGGAGTCTTTTAACGAGCGACGTGAAATCCTTTCTTTTCATGATACGAAATCGGATCACTTGATAAAACCTTTGAAAGTACTCAAAGAGTACAGAAGAAAAAGCGATGAAAAATTCTGATTATTTTAAGGCAATTTTAATTATTTTAAAGAATTTGCATAAAAGTTTCTCTGTAATTATTGTAATTAATGAAAAATAAATGTTGATTCAATAATCTCCTAAAGTAAAATCTAATAAAGTATTAAAGAGAAATACGAGACAGTAACTCGGAAAGCAAACTACGCAAAGACTTTAATGTATATTTATGGTTTTGCAAAGCTTACTCTCGGATTTATGGCCATATGGACTACCGGATTCGCGGTAGCACTTTAATCCATCTGAGTCGTTTGCAAAAGTTTCCACCTAAAATTCGGCTAATCAAAAAAAAAGCGATCTTTTCAAAGAAGCGAAAGAAGGCGGGAGGAGAATATAAAATATAAAACTATAAACATCGCATCGACCAGAAGATCGTATATTTTCTTTATTGTTTGCTGGTCCGGCGGGGTGCCGACCACACATAAAACCGTAACGTATTGATATTGTTATAGATATTACTTTTCTATACTTGGCTCCGTTGCTTGTAAATTCGGATCTCAAAACAAGGACATTCTCACATCCTTCCTCGACTTTAAAAAACCAATAACTTATTTTCACATAAAAAAATTTCTTGGAAATGATGTATTAGATTTTTTACAATATAATTTTTAATTTAAGGTGAATTCTGGTAAACAGATATCCTGTTTTTCAGTTTTCCAAGTTTTTCTTTGATTTCTTCTATCTGGATAATAATTCCTGTGCTAACAGGTTCATTAACATCTGTTTTGGACGATTATAGTTTGAAATATTTTTTCTACTGTTTCTTTGACACCACATTTTTCTGCGTATGTTGAGAGACTCTTTTTGTTCCTTACACGAGTATATTCAGCTGTATATATATTCGATTGTAGCACCTCGGCCGAACACAACCTTGATTAATATCAGTTGAAACAGATCATAATTTCACACCTTTGATATTGAAATGATTACATTCCGACGTACTTCCAACCAAAATATAAACCATGATGAGAAAAAATTTATTGTTGGTATACGTATTTTAAAAGAAAAATCGAAATCATCCTTTACACCGTGAAAATTAAAAATCTTTTAGTGTTCGTTAAAAATACAGGGTTAGGGGTTGGGTTAAAGTAATAAGTCAATGGGAATTTTAATTTACGTGTACCATCAAGAAAATCAATCTCATAAACTATCCTATCCAGGCTTCTGGTGTTATGAAAACGGATGAAGTGGTCGTTTTTCGGATTAACACGATGGCCCGAAGGGATTATGCGGATTCATGTTTATTCATGACGTAATCAACGCTATCGGTACGATCGATAGAATTAAAATTAATCTTGTTTATCGTAGAAAATATTGCTTCGTAGTTTCCCGAGGGGTGGTTATTATTCTTAGTATCAATTCAATTTTCCGGAGGTTTAGGAGAAATGGGAAAAGTCACCAGCGGTATACAGAGATATAAGTCGGTGGGTACGTGAGAGAGTTGCGTCCGGATGGAATATCGTTCGAAACGAGAGTCAGAGGCGTCCGTCTTATCGGGGTATAGATAAAATATACCCCGCAGAGTCGGTAAAATATCGACGGCGGATTTTAAATAGCGATAAAAAATGGCAACTGCTGCGCAAATGGACGTCGTCGGGATATGTGTTTATAAATTACTCCTTTCCTATTCCCGATTTTTCTTGTACTGGTCGAGGAACAACGACTTCCGGTATGTGTGGACGTCGTCGCAAAACTTTATTTACCGCATCCTCGAGATGTCCCTCATTTTTCAGCACCACTTTTTGTGATTTCGAAATCGCCGCGTTGGAAACGAGCAACAATGATATACAAGCGTGTAATTTAAAGTTTTCTCGGCGAGAATTCCTGCCGGTTGGTGGTAAGGTTCTTATTTTCACAGTGGCCCGTATTGACATGATCGTGCCAGTTCGAGTGGAAGGCAACCGTCCTCGGTTGTGTGTTGCCCGATATATACGTCTCCAACGACAAAGTTTGCCAATCATTGATATCATATTGGGCGTCGAAACTTTTATTACTCCGCCCGACAATAACGCGACCTCCCAGATCCAAAATAAATGCTGGAATTCGATTGGAAAGAGTATTTCCGGAAAATAGCAGCGATTCCAAACGGTGTTTGTTCCCTCATCCGTTTTTTTTGTTTCTGCTTTTTATTATTCCAGCACAACCGCTACCAGAAAGTTCATATATGTATCTATATATAAGCAGTACTACTTAAATAATACATTTAAAAGAGAAAAATTTTTTATTTTATGATCAAAAGAAAAAATATAACATAAAAAATTAATCTACTGGATGCGTATGTTTGGGACAGAGACAAAGAAAAACTAGCTCACTAGAAAAAAGAAAATAATGAGAGAAATGAGCGGAAAATTTCCATCGGGACATTTCCCTAAACGCAGGACACAAATACATCATCACAGAACTAAATAACGAGATACTTCGCAGAACTTTGTAAAATGTCGGAGAGTACGAGGGAAAAAGATTTCCTTTGTTTCCATCATCTATCCTGTCCTCTCTTCCAGTGTATATACATGTAGAAACGGCCGGACTACAAAGGACGAGTTAAACGAAAAAAATAATAAAAAGAAAGAAAGGGACCTTTGTTATGTACGTTTTCGACAATGTCGAAATTATGGTTAATTGAAGGAATGGGGAAAAAATGCGCATACCTTTATTGTTTGTGGAAAGGTCGAGGACCTTAAGTCAACCCTTTTCAATTTCTAAACGAACCTCCGTAAGCCATTTGTTACCGAAAAAACCAAGTTGGAAAAACAAGTGACGGAAAAATCTATTCGCTTTTTCGTGCTAAATTGATTTTCCCTTACCGTTTTGTCCAAACAAAACTTCTTTACGTATATCATTTTTGTCCCTCGACCTTTATATGAAAGAAAGAATAATTTGAGAATAGCACCGGAAAAAGGCAATTGTCCAACCCCCCCATAACTGAGAAGAAAAATGATCTCTCCGACCTTCGCTAAAGAAAAAGCTTTATTATTTCCTAATTAGATTATTTTCTTATATAACTCCATTAATCATTGCGGCTAATAATGATTAATGCGGTTGGTTTTTATGTTGCTCTTAAAACTCCCGAAATTGACCCTATTCGAAACATTTTCGAGAGCGAATACGAGATCACTTAGACGATAGGCCACAAAGGAAATTATTTAATTTCCTGGATTTAATGGAAATATTGGTTGTAATCTTAAGGTTTAGCATTTAATCGTTATGTCTTAGTACTAATTTTGTATTGACATTCGATTGAATATACCAGAAATGATTGCAAATTTATTTTTTTGACATAGTTGTCATATTTCAACAAATTAATTGATAGATAACAGCAAAGATGGCCAATGTAGTTACGGAAAAATAAAAGCTTCGAACAAGAAACAAAAGTCATTTAATACTTTTAAAACCACTCTCGAAACTTGTTACAATGAGGGAAATCGTACACATTCAAGCTGGACAATGTGGAAATCAAATCGGGGCTAAGGTAAGCTCAACTAACATTAATAACATGAATTTTAAGTTATTTTTTTGTTAGTTTTGGGAAGTTATTGCTGATGAACACGGAATTAATCCTACAGGAATGTATCATGGTGATTCAGACCTCCAATTAGAACGTATAAATGTGTACTTTACTGAAGCAACGGGGGGTAAATACGTTCCCCGAGCAATTTTGGTCGATTTAGAACCTGGAACGATGGATGCTGTTCGTTCAGGACCGTTTGGACAACTTTTTAGACCGGATAATTTTGTTTTTGGGCAAAGCGGTGCAGGGAATAATTGGGCTAAAGGACATTACACGGAAGGAGCAGAATTGGTTGATTCCGTTTTGGATGTTGTGCGCAAAGAGGCAGAAGGATGTGATTGCTTACAAGGTTTCCAATTGACGCATTCTTTAGGAGGCGGAACTGGTTCCGGGTTAGGAACTTTATTGATTTCAAAAATACGGGAGGAATTTCCCGATAGGATTATGAATACTTTTTCGGTTGTGCCATCACCGAAAGTATCAGATGTTGTTGTTGAACCTTATAACGCTACGTTATCGGTACATCAATTGGTCGAAAATACAGATGAAAGTTATTGTATAGATAACGAAGCTTTATATGATATATGTTTTCGCACATTAAAATTAACAACACCTACATACGGGGATTTGAACCATTTGTTATCGTCTACGCTATCAGGGGTGACCACATGCTTACGATTTCCTGGTCAATTAAACTCAGATTTAAGAAAACTCGCTGTTAATATGGTTCCCTTCCCGCGTCTACACTTTTTCATCCCAGGATTCGCCCCATTAACATCACGGGGAAGTCAACAATATCGAGCTTTAACGGTCTCTGAATTAGTTATGCAAATGTTTGATTCCAAAAATATGATGGCAGCTTGTGATCCTCGCCACGGAAGATATCTCACTGTTGCTGCTATTTTTCGAGGACGTATGTCGATGAAAGAGGTTGATGAACAAATGCTTAATGTTCAAAATAAGAATAGCAGCTACTTTGTCGAATGGATACCTAATAATGTTAAAACAGCTGTTTGTGATATCCCACCTAGAGGATTAAAGATGTCTGCAACATTTATTGGAAATTCCACATGCATCCAAGAATTATTTAAACGTGTATCAGAGCAATTTACGGCTATGTTCCGAAGGAAGGCGTTTCTCCATTGGTACACTGGCGAAGGAATGGATGAAATGGAATTTACTGAAGCTGAATCGAATATGAACGATTTAGTATCTGAATATCAACAGTACCAAGAAGCTAGCGCCGAAGAAGAAGGAGAGTTTGATGAAGAAGATGAAGCGGAAGATAAATAACTTTTTTAGTTAATAATAAAATAAGTTTTATTTATAAGTTATTACCGCTAAGTTTTCGTTGTATTATATAATTATTATTATAACTGTTATAATACGTGTTAACAACTTTTAATGGACACAGTAACACATGTTCTTCTCTGCGGCGAAGAAGCCGCGCGACATTTAGAGAGGATGTTCAAAGCGGGTCCTGAAGGACATCCTACTACATCTATGGCTCGTAATCAGGGGCTTTGTCATAGGAGAGTAACGTCGGATCAAAGGTCATTGTAACGTAACCGCAGCAAGCCATATACGCTCTCCTCCGCCCCATTCATTGACGAGAGGGATTCCCTCCACGTACACACATCCGAGGAGAGTTTGATCTCGAGGGGCTTCTTCTTGTTTCCACTCTTGACATGGATCGCGATGTGTTACCTCCCAGTTGATGTATTGCAAACTAAACTACAGAATTAACGTTCAAATTAACAAATTCTTAATTATAATTATTTAATAGTGATTATAAAATTTCGTATTAATGTTCAATGATAAAAGAGGGAAAAAATAGAACGAAGAAGAAGATGACTCAGCAATAATTAACAGGCTCTCTATGTGCATAATACAAATTTAATTCTCTCTTTAACTATTTGCCCTAATTAAATTTGCCCGGGGCAAAATTATTTCCCGGAAACGCAAACACTAATTCCTTTTTGTAATTTAAACGCTTCGCTTCGTCGCCGTCTCGCTGACGCACCTCCCGCGTCGTTTCGAAGGAACTCTCAGGCCTCCTCCTCCTCCTCCTTCACCCCCCCTTCGCCCAACTCCGAAGATTAAGACGAAACTAGGTTTTGTTTTAGGCGGAAATCTTATTAAATCCGTGATTCTCATCTAATACCGTTTTCAATAAACTTAATTGGTCACTTTTTTTAGTTGGCCAATTTTAATTATTTTCGATGGACTCTAAAATTGACAATGTGCTGGATGAAAAAAACGTGTGGTATTTCAACGAAACGTGACTGGAAAGCCGTAAATAAATAGGGTTGTCGGTGGTATGGAGAGCACGATAGAATAGGACACGCTAGATCAATGGACAGATAATAAAGCGTCCCATTAGGTCGCTAGTGGGATAATTTATGCTCACCGGATGGGATAGGTTATGTAAATTGAAGAGGTTTTTATTAAAGCACGCAATGCGATGACTCGTTAGTTTCTGTATTGTGAATTGTGTGGTTCATATTTCATATCGATATCAATAGATTTGTTCTGGACCTAATTAAATGTATTGCAAGATTCTATCATTTTCCTATCTTTATCAACATTAATTTGTCCGATAACTAATATGGACACTGTATGGAATATTTGAATCTATTTTTATAAAATAAATAAGTTATTTTTACGGATTTTTGTGTTAACACCCAATGTAACGCAACGAACTGAGTAAAACAACTGATTTATTTACGTTTCTCTCTTCCCTTGTCGTCTACAATCCCTGTTCAATTTACGTATGAAAATGGAATTTGAATAATTTATTTTCGTCAGTATATTGACTGTTTCAACGTCCCAGAAAAATATACGAGAATAAATATCAAATAGTATGTTTGTATAGTGACTATGTTAATCAATCCTTTGCTTAAATAATTGTGTTTGGACATTACAGTCGAGGTGTATGTCTTGGAGAAGCAAAGGGTGGTGGGTTCGGATATTGCGCTTGTAACGCGGTCGAAGGTCAAAGGGGCAAGAGATCCCGCACCCATTCATTAGAGAGGCCGCAGAACAGGACACTAGACGCACTAAATTACATTAAACCTACAAATTGTTTCATCGGCAACGGTATTTCTCGGGGTGGGTAACGATGTTATGGCCAAGCGCAGCCCGCCGCGGTACCCCTGAGAATACACACCAAATGGATTACCGTTGTCACCCCCCCAATTCAAAGGGGCCACCTGTATCCGGACACCACGTTAATTTACGTCGTCGTCGAGAGCTTTTCCTTTTAATTAATTTCAAACTGAATAAATAAAACCTAAAACCAATAAAGTACTATTTACACAAAAGTAAGGGGAAAGTAATGTTTTTGTCGATATGATGCATATTGACACCTACACATATTACCCAGTTCTTGATAACTTACCACCAGAAGTTGATCCTTTCATATTCCACCTGTAAATTCGGTGAACTGTAAATTCGTATTGGAGGCGACTGCTTTCGGTTTTAATTAAATTCATTTGAACATCCGGGCCGAGGAAAGTGGACGCCGGGTTCATAACCACAGAGTTATTCGGACCTCAGTGTCAAACATTCGTAGGGCGCTGGGAATTACGTGCCTTTTCATTCCTATACCGTGATGACGTGGATCCTTTTCAAGTTTTCGAAAGCCTAACTCTCGCAACTCTGTGTGTAAGGAAGGTCGAATTTATACGAATCGATCCTGAGGGTTCCCGGGATATGGACCTTCCACTTTGATTGATTCCCGTTGGTCGGACAAATTTTCGAGGGTCCTAGAAGGTGACCACATCTCACTACAAAAATGTTTTAAATTACTTTTAAAGTAAATTTTAAAGTGGAAAAACTTTTAAAAAAGCGATTGGCATAAAACCGGAATTAAAATCGTCTTCACTTCCGTAACGTTCATAGCATCTCTAAGTTAGGTTTCGTGTAACCTTCTGAATCTTTTGTACGCCGACTTTATTGTATGAGGAAAAAGCCAAGTTCGTTATCTGGGAAGCCAGCATCAGGATTTCGTGAACTGTTTTTAGGAGGGGCAAAGAGCCAGAAAGAGAAAATAAACCGAGAAAACAAACAGATGATGCCAAATAAACCAAAAAGTATTTAAAAGCATTCCGAGATTAAACAATTAAGATAAAGCAGGGTCGAAATCCTTTCGTCGAACTTTTCCTCGTACTATGATTCGAATAAGCCGAAAAGTACGAGTTATTTTATAGTCGCCAAAACGTGAAATCGGAAGGAGCATATGGGGTCTCTGCTATTTATCACTTGCACGTGTCGAAACGTCAAAGTTCTCTTTGAGTTTGCGAATTTCTTTGGGGTCTTCGAGTGTGTTCAACGACACTTGAGATACGAAAAAAAAACGGTTGGGACAAATTGTTTTTATTAATAAAAATTATTTCTGCTTCATAAAACTTTTGTTTTCGACAATTTCCTGTTAAAAGTTATTTAAGTTATTTAACTTATTTAACAAAAGAGTCGTTCTCTTCTGGGATAAATTACAGAAACGGGGACGACGAATAATACAGTTAAAATTCTCGGCACATGTTCAATTACCTCCAGGAGGCGTCGTCGTTGTCCGGATTTCCACTCGAGATACACTATTATTATTCCATTAAAAAGCTCCCGACGCCACTTCTTATTTATGTATCTATTCGTTTAATCCTTGGGTCGCGACCCGCGTCACGTTTAACGGTGGCGTAAATTTCCACGACGACGCTTCGAAAAGCTCTCGACGCTTTGAACGTTTTATAAACAAAAACGGATTCCGGGTTTTAGTTTTCGAGAGGGGTTGGTCGAAGAAAACCTAAGGGTTAAATCCCAAAACGGTCAGCTTAAAACAGATTAGGACTTTACATTTTTATAAATAGATATTTACCGACCGTTAACATCTAATCCCGTTTCTCTTATTACTTATAAATCTCTTGAAATCTCTGAAAATCCGCGAAATTATTCAAAATTGTCACTAAAAGCTTTAATAATTTTGAAATAGTAATAAGTTAAAAAAATGTTTTTTAATCCAACGATTTTATTCCACGAACCGTGAAAAATGTTATAATCCGAAATCTCGACAACATCCCAGTTGCGAAATGAAAAAAATACAAGTTAAACAAGGGGAGTAAATTGCGGACGTTGAATAAGAATAACGGTCGGTAATTAAAAGTTCCGGATCTGAACGTTATCTGGCAATTCCCCACCTGGTTATTTTATAATCGCAGAGTCCAGGATTGGGCTCACGGCCATACACGGTCACTCGATTAATTAGGGCAATTTTCCACCACCACCCTCATCGTTACCACTACCTTAGCCTGCACTGACCCATTTTTCCTATATATTTTAGAGCTTAGCGGCGTGGAGAAATGATTTGGCCGATTAGTGCGCCACAACGGAGCTTTTTCTAATAAAATCTCGAAGAAATTTAACCAATTTCAAGTTCTTATTATTTTTATTGTTTTTCTTGCCTATATATAACATAGTACATCTTTGTATTTAGATTTAACATTCCACATATGATCACATTTACTAGAAAGCAAATCCCGAAATATACACCCCTCTTCAACCTCCTACGTGGGATTACAAAGGGCCTATAATAGGCTTAAGTGGTGCGTAGAATTCGCTTCCCCCATTTCATGCAAAACGATGATGTTAACACATTGTCATTCGAGATGATGTAAATGATTTTTGAAATGAATTGTTTTCGTAATATAATTATAGTACAAATCCATAAGATAAATTTTAATACGTTAATTTTGCTGGTTGTAAAGCAAACTGAAATTTGCATTTGGGTTTATGCGGTTCAGCCGGAAACGTGAGCAACAGCCGCGAGATTCGTTTCACCCCTCTTTGCGGTAAATTTCCATTATTGTACATTAATGGGCTTACGGGGTGGGTGTGTCGTTATTCCCATGCATCTTTGGTAATCTATGTACTTTCGGATCTGGAGACTCTCAGAGCTACGGGCACGTAAGCGAAGCATTTCGTCACCCATAGCACTGTTTTCCAGCCAACACGACGAGGGGGTGGCTGGGGTATCCATCAACCCTCCATCGCCTTCCTCTGTCGTTCGAGACTCGATCTATTCCGCGAGAAATTTTCATTTTTCAACGTCTACGGCACATTACGAGGATTTGCCGATGCAGGTGAACGCTTCGAACTGGGTTGTAGCTACGGTGGAGGTTGAAAAATAGCATGTGGCAAGGGTAAAGAAAAAGGGGGGCTGTTGGTCGGCGGAGAGGTGAACACGCTCAAACAATAACCATAAATCTAATAGCTTTTATAAGTTGGTTGGGTTAACGCTAAACAAAATACTCGAAAAAAAAATTCAATTCTTTTTTATTACTTTATTTTTATGAATCGATTTAAATCCTTCTCAAATCTTATCTAAGAGGTACAAATTTCTTTGTGATTTTTCAGTTTCGTTTATTAATCATGTAAAATTGAAATAAGCTATTTGTACATAAAAAATTTATAATCATCAAAATTTAAGTGAACTCAGATTAAAGTGCGGACTATAAACGACGTGAATTCCTAATAACGAAAATTTAATTTATAGTTGATGGCTTTTCTCATCTCCTCCACGTTAAACAACCGCCGAAGAACAAAGCATTATGAAACTGTAAATCCTGCATTAATGCAAGCGGGGACGTCGCGTGTAAACTTATCAATTTATTTATGGTCTACATAAATTTAACTCTCAACGATGCTGTGGGGGTAGTATTTTAACTCTTAAGGGTGGTTTCATCTACAAGGGAATTGGAGAAACCGCGCGTCGTCGTTTTCAGGTAGGTGTATTTCCATTTATTAGAATAAAATTGAAATAAATCAATCGAAATCAATAATCAGCAGTATACAAATTCGATTCTGGGGGAACGTTTAATTAGATGCTAATATTTTCGATGGGGTTTCGAATATCTATTATTGGCCCTAGCTATTAATTTAGGCCTTTGATGCATATCGCTGCGGGCAGAATTGTTCCTATTTATGCAGTTATGCAATCGCGTTAACAATAGATATTGTTAAAGTCGACACGGGATATCTACTCCATGATATTGAACAATTTAATTATTAAATCAATAATATAGGTATAGTTTTGTTAATAAAGATAATTTATGTTTTGATTTTATTGTTGTTTGGTGTGGATTGACCAGAGTTGTGGAGGTAATCTGAGTTTATACATCAATTTAGATAAAGTTTTATCTAATCAGGAATTAATTTTTGAATGCACCGAGTCATTTTATTTTTTTCTAAAATTTCCTCTTTACAACGTTTTAACCATTATACTATAAAATTTTTGAGTATGTAAATCATAAATTCTGATCCTTATTTCCAGATATTTTTTGTAAATAAATCGATATATTTGTTAACGATAACTTTGATAAACTGATAACGTTAATAATGTTTAATCAATAACATTTAAGATAAGGTGTAATAACGAGAGAGGCACCATATTGAAAGGTGAATAAAGTGTGAAGTGAATTATTATTGTGATTTAAAAATAACGATCAAACAAGATGCCAATAGAGAACCAATATATTCCTTTGGAAGGATCACGAAGGTAAACTCAATTAAAATAAATAAATAAAGAAAGATTAAATGAAACTTAATTAAATTATAGATCATGGTGGGGAACTTTAACTGGACTTGAGAAAATGCTCATTTTGTTATCGGCAACGTTAGCAATTTTTGTTTTTACATTAACGTTGGCGTTAATAACAACTAAAAGTTAGTATATAATTACAATCATTATTTAAAGAATAAAAATTTTAAATAATTTATATTTAGAATGTTCGCATGAAGTTACAACAGAAGCTCCAATTACAACAACTGAGGGGCCAATAACAACTGAAGAACCTGTAACATCTGACGAACCTAATAGTACTGAAGAACCCGCAACAACTGATGAACCTCAAACTAGTGACGAACCTGAAACTACTGAAGAAATAGATACAACTGAAGAGGTAATTACTGAAGCACCAAAAGAACCTCCGAACGATGTTAAAATTACAAGTTCTTCTGATAGTAATTCTCAGACTACCTCAAAAATAGCTGAGAACGAAGAAACTAAAAAATTGTTAAATATGGAAAGTGAAGAAGAAAGTGATGAAGTATCAAAAAATATAAGTCAAAATGGCAAAGTTGAGGAAATCACTGAAAACGATAATGATGAAATAGAGAAAGAAGACACTAAAAAATCAAAGGAATTAAATATGGACAAGGAAAGTAAAGAAGATTATAACTAATAAATGTAAATTGTTAGAGATTAAAATACTTATTATAATAATTAATTTTTTCTTTTTTCTCTTTTTTTAACTGTTTCAACAAAATCTAAAATATAAATATGTCAAGTATGTATGGAAGAGGGAATTCGATTTAACTTTAATTCAAAATTTAAGTTTTAAATAGTTTTAATCATTTTTTTTTATTATTTTAACTCGATCCACATCGTTCACCAATCCGTTATTTTTTGGATACCCACATTAACTTTTAAATTGGATTCGGGAAAAGCGTCGAGGGAGTAGGACGGCTTCGGTATTTGCACAACGCTCATCGCGTAACGTAGCGTTTCGGGACGCGGGGTGCAAAAACACGTGATGTTTGTCGAGCAAATACCGGGTTTTATCGTTAAACGATTATGTTGGACCACATCGAACGCGAACGACGCGTGTTAGCGCATGTCCAACAACGAAGAAAAATTCAAAATTGTTAAAATTGTTATCTCCCCTTATTTACCATCAGGAACTCATTATTTATTGATGATGCTTTATATTCTCTAACGATATAATCTCCTCGACATTTGAGATCTAATTGCAATTACTGATCTTTTGAAGCAGTCAACGTCGTCGTCGACGCCTTGTTTGTTGATTCCAAGTCTGGACTCGGGATTATACAGAGGAAGGACAATTGAGGCACGTTAATTAGATCGGCCGCTTTCCTCCGGGCGTCTTCAGTTCTCGACTGATTGATAAGCGAGTCGAGTGCGAAGAAGTCTTCCTTTTCCTTCCTCCAGATTAACTTGCTAATTTTCCGCCAACTCCATAACGAGTTCTAGGATGATCCTTTTCTCTACTTCCGGAAACCTTTTCCTAATTGCCTTACGATTTATCATTATACATTTACATTCTTTCAACATCTTGTGGAGGATAAAAAGATAATTTGTAGAGAATCTTTTAAAAATCTTATAAAATTGTTTTAATTAACATAAATGATATAAAAATTTGTTGGATGTATTCGAGGTTCGTAAATAGTAGAGGATTTGCGCGACCAAAAGTCGAGGATTCAGAAGAACATCTGTAGTCGACATTCTAAAAGAATAGCCCTAAGGAAAAACGGAGAGTTTTGGCGAATATAGGTACATATATCTAAAGGGGTTGAGGATTCGGTTCGAGTTGGAATGAATTGTCGACCGCGAAGTCGCTTGCAACGTCCGTCGACCCAATAAATCCAAACCGTGGACGGTATACTGCCATTGGCGATAACACCAGGAACCATTCGCTTTGGGGCAATCCATAACATCGCCACTTCTGTTTCGGTTGTAGTCGTGAATCAATATGTCTTTTTTAACTTTTTTTTTAAAGCGAAAAACTCATAAGAGGCAAGTGATTATAGGTAATCTTTGACGTTGAAAACGTTTCGCATAACTTTCTTGCACTTGCGGGTTAACTTTTAAACAAGCAGTGGTGCTCACAAAAATTCCAAAGTCAAAGTGTGTCTTTGATGTATCCGCGACGGTAACGATGTAACGAGTTTATGCAGGTAGCCCGCAACTTCGTTTAGGAACTTTCATATTGCTGCGCCCCTTAATCGGAAAAAGTAAGTTTGTGGCAGCGATAATGCAGCAGAGTGGCTCGTAGTTTACTTTTACGATTTCCAATTATATGAACTATTCCACCCAACAGTTTTTAATGCTGGTTCCGTATTTATGAAACATGTTTGCCGGAAAAACTAATTGGGTTAATGAATTTTTACTCCCTTTTTGTTCTGATAGCTGATGCGGTAAATTATTAAATCCCCTGGTGGAGTATAACCTACATATTGTAATAGAATTTTAACCACATTTAATTAAAATACCGTTACTAATAATTAATATTCCATACCTCTAGAGTAATTACGTCGAGTGTAAAAGGTAAAATCGTTAATATACTAAAATATTACAAAATTCATTTCATAAATACAACATTAAAACATAAAATTCACCAAAATCAATTCAAATGAAACAAATCATGACAACGTCAAAGTATTTTGAAATTTGGTTTCTCTAAAATCCATTTATTAAGAATTCAAAATTCAGTCCGTTTGAAGAATGTATCCAAAAAGTTTTAAATTAATTGGTCTTTTTGAAACGTTATGGAACTCGCTGGTTTGGTATGTTCGTGCTTATTTCGATTTGCAAGACGAAAGTTTGGTTCGCCAAACCATTTCCGACACGTCTATCGGCGTTTGCACGTCCGAATGCAATTGCGAGTGCTTCCTTAGTGTCCATAAGACGTTGCCACCGTTAAAATACCGAATACGAGCTGCGCGGTTTCAACTGAGAAAGCACCCGTCCGTAAACGAAATTCTTCAGTTGGAGGAAAGACTGCGGGATACGCGTCATCCGGAACCTTTGGTACGCGATAACGATCCCAATAAAGATGACGTGCTCGCATTGTTAGAATTGCATGACGTTCATACCTCCATATCACAGCACAATCTGTTCAGAAAATGTTTAACTATCTAAAAGAATCAAATTTTATGTGTTTGTAAGTATATAGAAAAAAACAAAGTGTACCTGTAAAAATAATAATAAAGAGTGGTGTTAATAAGCTGTCTTAACGAGATTATTTAGAAAAATTTGCAGAAATACCTGAAAAGACACAAAAAGATCTATTCTATCTATTATAGGAACGCAAAATGTATTCATCTCGGCGCAGTAACGAGCTCTTCCTATTTGCTATAAAAATTCGTTGAAAATACCGCATGAAAAGGAGGTTCAAAGAAATGTTGAATGAAATGTTGAATGCAATGCTCATTTTTATTTTCTCGCTAATTTGTTTCTACACCTTTAAATTTACTTCCATTTATGTGAAAAAATAAATCAACCAAATCGAGATAATTAGATAATAATGTACCTTTGTAATTCATTATTTAGATCGAATTAGTGAATTCAAATCGATCGCGATATCTTTCGCGTCTTTCTTGTGCGGCAATTAAAAATTGAAAGTTTTAAAATAAACTAAACCAAGCTATCCTTCAAACTATGTTCTTTTTGGCGACTTTCCCAACCACTACAGCTAACGATTTTCCTTATATTTGCCTCAGTTTCCGTAAGTCCTACTCATCCTGTGAGCAGATTTGCATGTCGAATCCGTTCGCCGTTATTTTGAGAGACAACGTAACGTGCTTAAGATCGAAATTTAGACCTGGATTATTCAAATACCCAGACGTAGAGGAAGTTTTATTCGTGCCGCAAGCGCTTCCTAAATGTTCGAAATCGGAACAAAACCCGACAGCCCAACCCCTAATGCGCTACTCACCCTTAAGGCCTCTTTGAGGGATGGGGACAAAAGTTGTGCTAAAATCCTTGTTATACCAACTTTCTTTTTTGATATACATTTTTTACTTTTTTGTGATAATTTTTTATATACATTTTTTTTGAGTTATAAAAGGTATTCTTAGGATGTTTGCAAATGAAGACGGTGTAAAATTAAGAAATTTAGTGAATAGAAAAGCCCAAGGGGGTGTGATTTAACACGACTCCCGGTGTCGGGAGTAGAACGCGCCCTTGCATATTTTAAAGTTTTTCTTACTTTACGGTTGGCGCCAGCGTCGCTAAATTATTCTATACGCGATTTAAGACCGCATTTCCTCGTGCTATATGATATCAGAATATAAATGTGCCCTAGTCGAAGAGATCGGCTGAGCCTTCTGCCTACTGCTAGGCTTGCAGACCTTCCTTCCGTTCATTTTATTGGAACATCAAATTTTTATGGATTTCCGAGGGGGAAATCGGTTATAAACAAAAATAAAAACGGGCTATTTATTGAATATTCGATTTAATGTTTCCATTCGCAGTATATAGCTGTTCTTTTATGGTCCCAGCGTTCTCGAAGCAAACAGATTTCATTGAAATTATACTTACATAATGCATATAGTTTTCACAACCAAACCGTAAACGGATTCTTATCCCTCCTTATTCTGTTTTAAATAACATAATCACATCCAAAATTGAACAACCTTTATCGATTTTGTCGTTGGGGCAAACTTGCAATATCTAAAGCAATAAAGATCGAGTTGAGATTTTCTAACTAGATAACGAACAAGTCGAGTCTGTTGGCTCGATGCCGGAGAACGATAATAAGTTCTAGTGCCAATCAAAGCTATGCTTTAATTACCCGAGTGGTTAAGGTTAAATTTGCCGCGCACAAATTCGATCCAAGCGCTGCCTCCACTAGAGAAAAACAAACTCATAAAGCTCGCCTTAATAAGTTCCCTCTGTGAGTTTGTTTAATTTTTCCAATTGCTTAATAGCGTAGAAGATTCGAACTCGTTACGCTAATTTCAGCCGTAAATAATTTAAATTTAAAAGTGCTTATAAAAAAAAGTTTAAAAAGAGAATATCAGGTAGGTCAATAAAACCGTTTTGAATGAGAAAAAAAAACTAGAATGGTAAAATTACCGAGATAAACGGCATATATGAGTAGAAACATGGTAGGCTTTCAGCATTATTGTGCATTTTGGTGGGATTTGCACAACGTATAACGAGTAGTAGCAATGAAGTATCCGCAACTGTGCGCACAAAATGCAATTTCCATTTTAACCATGGAAAGAGCCAGCTATCCTGTTGCTGTATCGTCCTAAACGTTCGAGCATTAAAATATTATCCTACTGTTCGGAGGCTCTCTGTACCCCGCTACGTTGCGCACATAATGCACCCGAAAATTTATGCATATAGGTGTTACAAAACATTTTGCCACGAATATTGCCGTAGGGCGGGCTTCGAACGAAACACGCAAATTCCGGGACGAACCTGGAAGGTGTGCAAGGATACGAGGTTTAATCCAGGAACTGCTCCCGAAGATCTCCCAACACCCACTACCCTTCGTAAACACAAAGCGTCCCGCGACCGAGGACAGTGAGAGTATTAACATTTTAGTCCTTTGTGTCTCACTGAAATATAAACCGGGGTTAAGGGATGAAGCAGTATTAAACCAACGATTGGACAGGAACAAGGTTCCCTAAAACAATTCAAATTACACGTTTTATTGTTTTTAATATTGACCTAGAACAGTATTTCTCAATGTGGGTG